GAGAGAGAGAGAGTTATGCAGTACATGTACACGTATTTCATATTATGTCTAACTTTACGTATTATTTATGTTATTTATATTGTTTGTTTTCTTAACAGAGTAAGAAGTGGAGAAGTGAAGCCTCTTAAGAAGAAGGTTAGCTTTACTATGTAGAGAGTAAAGAAGTTGTGTGTGTGCGTGCAGTGCTCAGAGTTCAATTTAAGCTAATTAGCTTTATTAATGTACAGTGCACAACATTTTGTATGGGAATATTTTGTTTACTATCCATGACAAGGTTTCCTACATTAACTCTTAGAGAATGTGCACGTATTTCATGCTTAATTTAATTTGTATTGAAGGGAAGCAAGCCATAATTATTGCATCATGTAGTATGCCTTGTGCTCATGTGCCCATAGTTCATACAAATATGTGTCTTTAAAGGGTCAATTTTTGAAACAAATAAATTAAAAAATTTATGAAAAATCTAATTTTGATTGCAGCGAGCTCAAATTTTTTACACAACATTACATGCATTATCATTATTATTATTATTATTATTATTATAGTTGTCGTCTGATTACAATGTTTCAGATCGAAGCGATAAACGTGCCACCAGTGTTGGTGGTAATTCAAGACGTAGACCTCTAATGCATTGTCATGGCTTCTCACTTCAGGGCGAGGATGGAGAGAGGACTCTCATTGTAAAGTAGGTTGAGTGTGATCATTGTGATTTGTGGAAGTCAATTTATACATGTACATATTGAATTGCAATTCATGTGTGTGAAGTTGCTTATGTTGTATTATCTTTGTATTCATCTTACATTACATTAATTTTTTCTCTCATAAAGACATAAACTCTGTCCTTTATATTTCTTTCTCTGTTTGTAGAGGTGGAAAGTGAATCATAGTCAAGTTAAAGGCAGTTTTGATTTTTGATTTTAACTTTCACTACACTTTGGGGATAAAGACTTGAACCACAATACATTATGATTATAAATCATTATTTTGTTTAGTACCCCAGTTACAGAACAATTTGTGTTTATACTAGTTGGTAGGCGTGTGGGTTAAATATTTCTTCGCACGTGTATCCACGTGGGCAAAAATACTAAACACTTAATAACTGACCTAATGACAAACACGCCCATTTTAAC